AAAACGCAGGCTATGAAAGTGAACGACACTCCACTTGGGTGCGAACCCTCCAGGCTTTACAAACAAATTGATCTATTTACGAACCAAAATTTGATGAAGAAGGAACTGCAATTAAAATGACCCGTCGTAGTATACGGTTGACTACACATTCGAACGCAATCCATGTCAGATTCCAGATCTGCAACGTGTTGCCATCATAAAAATATTTGACTGTCACACAAGATTATGCCCCCGCCCCCCATTTGTTCATTTAAAAAGTTCGCTAGGTTCCTGTTCCTGTGTCTGTGCTGGAGCTATAGCACGTGTGCGTTTGTGAAGGCAGTGAGGGCTGGTTGAATCTTTCAGTTACTTGCAGAGTTAGCGTACTAACTGTCTTTGAACGTATTTACAAAGTATGGGCGAATATATTTATAAAATGTAGGCTAAATGCTAAAAACCGTATTTTTTTCCCCATAATGCCACAAGCTATTGACATGTGCAACGCAGTGGCGTTAATGGAAAAATTGTTGAACAGAAATCATGCACTGCAGACATAATTATAAAACCATTAAAAAAATAACCAAAAAAACAATATATGCTTCCTTAAATTTTGAAACATATTAGTGTAATATAGGCCAAATGTTAAAAGAATAGCATTTTTTTTTTTACTTGCGCAAGTCAATGCCCTGTAACATTATAGGGAAACAATTTAGCATTTAGCCTGCATTTTTAGCAATACGTTCGAACATACTTTGCAAATACATTCCAATGAGTTCACCAGTCAAAAATGTTTCCTCCACATCGGCAGTTCCACAATTTCACACGAATGCTTGTGGTGTGTATCACTTTTACGGAAAAATCGAGTGAACCTCTCAAGTAAGTTAAGCCATGAAAATAGATTTTTTTTTCCCTCAGTCCGCCTGCATATCGGTCAAATCTCCCCTTATCCCCCAGAGAGAAAAAAATACCATCGGTGTGCCTGACTTCAGTTTGCTTTTTAACTTTTTTTTAACAATTAACTCTGCTGGAGTTACACTACTTACTATACTGTATACTGAATAGATGCATCTTGTATATGTGAACATTTTTTTCACTTTGTAGGTACAGTTCATACATCAGATTGCTGGATAGATCAGATTTTTCATTACTAATTGTATGAACTGTGCAGTGTTCTACTGTCGAGATTCTGAACTTGTTTTAGTGTTTAAGTGTTGGAACAATTGGCTTGCTGAATGTTGCTGTACTTCAAGAGAGACGCCCCCCCCCCCCTAACAAATTCATTCTTGTTTGGATTAACAATGGCATACAATTTCCAGTCAGTGCTTTGCTGTGTGCGTGCGTGCATGCGCGTATGTGGCCTCCTGCAGCTGTTTGCAGGCCGAGTGCTGCTGCAAGCTTTTGCAAGCTGGACACCATGTGGGAGATGCAGTTTATCCTGCCAGCTAGCCCTCCGGTGCTGGAGTTGACCGCGCCAGTGTGGTGCTGCGGGCCCTCGTTAACATTATTGACAGGTGGTGCATGAAGCCAGTTGTCCTTGTGAAGGACCCTTAAGGCAACTTTTCAAACTAAAGTTAAAGTCCAGAGAGTCAATCAACTCTTTTTTGTTTTCCCCCTGCACGGTAATAACCTGCAGAGCCGTGACAGATAGAAGGAAGCAATTTTAAAATGAAAGGGAAACCTAACGTGTCAAAAGAGCAAATACTGTACTTTTTCATCGAGATGGACCTTCCGACCCTGGGACGGAGCGGACCGTCCATACGGATGCCCATTTTGAGGACGGAGGATGAGGAGTGTTTTTTTTTTACACAAGATTATGCCCCCGCCCCCCATTTGTTCATTTAAAAAGTTCGCTAGGTTCCTGTTCCTGTGTCTGTGCTGGAGCTATAGCACGTGTGCGTTTGTGAAGGCAGTGAGGGCTGGTTGAATCTTTCAGTTACTTGCAGAGTTAGCGTACTAACTGTCTTTGAACGTATTTACAAAGTATGGGCGAATATATTTATAAAATGTAGGCTAAATGCTAAAAACCGTATTTTTTTCCCCATAATGCCACAAGCTATTGACATGTGCAACGCAGTGGCGTTAATGGAAAAATTGTTGAACAGAAATCATGCACTGCAGACATAATTATAAAACCATTAAAAAAATAACCAAAAAAACAATATATGCTTCCTTAAATTTTGAAACATATTAGTGTAATATAGGCCAAATGTTAAAAGAATAGCATTTTTTTTTTTACTTGCGCAAGTCAATGCCCTGTAACATTATAGGGAAACAATTTAGCATTTAGCCTGCATTTTTAGCAATACGTTCGAACATACTTTGCAAATACATTCCAATGAGTTCACCAGTCAAAAATGTTTCCTCCACATCGGCAGTTCCACAATTTCACACGAATGCTTGTGGTGTGTATCACTTTTACGGAAAAATCGAGTGAACCTCTCAAGTAAGTTAAGCCATGAAAATAGATTTTTTTTTCCCTCAGTCCGCCTGCATATCGGTCAAATCTCCCCTTATCCCCCAGAGAGAAAAAAATACCATCGGTGTGCCTGACTTCAGTTTGCTTTTTAACTTTTTTTTAACAATTAACTCTGCTGGAGTTACACTACTTACTATACTGTATACTGAATAGATGCATCTTGTATATGTGAACATTTTTTTCACTTTGTAGGTACAGTTCATACATCAGATTGCTGGATAGATCAGATTTTTCATTACTAATTGTATGAACTGTGCAGTGTTCTACTGTCGAGATTCTGAACTTGTTTTAGTGTTTAAGTGTTGGAACAATTGGCTTGCTGAATGTTGCTGTACTTCAAGAGAGACGCCCCCCCCCCCTAACAAATTCATTCTTGTTTGGATTAACAATGGCATACAATTTCCAGTCAGTGCTTTGCTGTGTGCGTGCGTGCATGCGCGTATGTGGCCTCCTGCAGCTGTTTGCAGGCCGAGTGCTGCTGCAAGCTTTTGCAAGCTGGACACCATGTGGGAGATGCAGTTTATCCTGCCAGCTAGCCCTCCGGTGCTGGAGTTGACCGCGCCAGTGTGGTGCTGCGGGCCCTCGTTAACATTATTGACAGGTGGTGCATGAAGCCAGTTGTCCTTGTGAAGGACCCTTAAGGCAACTTTTCAAACTAAAGTTAAAGTCCAGAGAGTCAATCAACTCTTTTTTGTTTTCCCCCTGCACGGTAATAACCTGCAGAGCCGTGACAGATAGAAGGAAGCAATTTTAAAATGAAAGGGAAACCTAACGTGTCAAAAGAGCAAATACTGTACTTTTTCATCGAGATGGACCTTCCGACCCTGGGACGGAGCGGACCGTCCATACGGATGCCCATTTTGAGGACGGAGGATGAGGAGTGTTTTTTTTTTTTTTTTTTAAAGGACAGACTAAGCAGGACTGAAGTGGGTTTTCATACATACCATTAATCGTCCCAAACTGGGTGTCGGGTGGCAAAATAACAAGGCCAGAGTGGAGCCAAACACAGTATTTTCTTAACAGGCTAGTAAGAGCACAACACCAGTTTGTACGACTCACTTAGTCGCCCTGACAGAACAACTCTTCTTCCTTTTTCACCTCAATAGGATTTTAAGAGCAACACTGCCACCAGGTGTACAGTCAGAGAACATAAAGTACCTACAGACACCCATTTTGCTAACGATCAATCCAGCGGTTAAGAAAGCTGGCTGTGTTGTATGTCTCTCGTTGCCCGCCCACCAAGATGCTTCGGCCTCACCATTTGAGGCACAGATTTCTAAAAGTAAACTTTTTCTTTTTATTATTTTTATTTTATCATCGTAGCTATTTTTGTGTTTTGCAATATTAAATGTTGAGTTGCTTATCACTAAGACATTAAAAATACAAAGTAACAGTGATGTTATTTTTGTTTAATTGATGGCCATACTTATCGGCAACAGCCAGCCACGGTGTTACTGAAAATAAGGTTTGGTACGCAGGCGTAGATGTGATGAATACGTCAATGGTTGCATGCGAGAGTCCTGCACATATTTCAAAGTGTTTTTAAGACGATCTGGAAAGAGGATTAAAAAAATAATGTTTCAATCACATACACGTTGACTTTGCGTTGTTATGCTCCTAATTGGAGACGGATTCACGTTGCCTCACTTTGCTGACTCATCCTGTCCTGCATTCTGGCCGTGGCTATCAACAGTGTTTCAAACCAAATTTCCACATGTCGTCACCGCCACAAATGATTATATTTTAGCTGCCTGTTGCGGTAATTTCTCTGCTCTGTTTCACCTGGAAAAAAAAGTCTGGTTTTGGCGGTACAAAACTAATTGGCGGCGACCACACTTTTGAACCTACTAAAAAAAAAAAAAAATAAATAAAAAAAAAAAACAACAACAACCTGGAAATTGTGGTTGTAATCTCACAATTTTGCGGTGGTGGTTCTATGACATAGTATGTTTTTAAAAATGTGTTGACTCACCTTCTCTTGATTCTCGGCTGTTACTAGCCCGAGTTGGCCCCAATGCAAGCGGACTGTAATTAGAAAAATAATTATTTCTGGTGTTTTTGCATTATCTGGCAAACTAACTAAGCAACCCACACCTGGACCTGTCGCGTGCCAGTTGCAGACAATAAAACATAACATCTCAGGTCAAACAACAAAGTCACTGGGTTTCTATTCAGTATGCAGCTGTCTTGCATCCCAAATGAATCATGGGCCTGCAATAAGGGAACTCAATATCGCATTCGGGTAAACACCTGGGGGAAAGAAAATTCCTAGCAGAAATGATAAATCCTTGACAAGTGTTGCCCATCCAACTGACATTCCATATGTTTGGACTCGGGGGGCCTTCTTGCATCTGTCATCATGTCCAGGTAAAAGTGTGCAAAGGGGAAAAAAAAAAGAGACAGAAGCATTGCCGCAGTTGACGCACTTTGCTGTTGGCTCCTGCTCAAAAAAAAAAAAAAAAAAGGCCGTTTCTCAAGGTGGCGGTCTTTGATTTACTGTCCAAATACACATCTAGATGTTGAATGCCGCTTTTGCTTTTGGCAGGTAACATCAAACAGATTGTGCCTCTTTAGTGCTGACGCATGGCTGCTGACACGGCAACAGATGGCCTTCTGTATACCCACCCTCCGTCACATGGTGATGTCTGAAGATGTAAGGGCTGCACTTTAAGGTACAATCGGTCTTCCTGTGGGCTGTATACTGTATACATTGATAATATAAGTGATAATGTAATTTGGTTTTGATCGTGAACACGTTACGCATTGACAGGGTGTTGTCGTGCCAAGCCGTCTGTGAAGAGCAGTGGCAAAAACGTGTTGAAAGTTGCAACCTGTCGAGACCTCAAACCTCAGCCGTGCCAGCTATGCTGAGTCAAACAACATCATTTCAGAAACAGAAAGATCAAGGTGAGAGGAAAATTGCGCCTGATGGTGCCGTTTTGATGATGATAGTTAACTGCTAACGCACACCCATAGTTCTTGTCACTTTAGTCCGCACAAGCCGATACTGTAAAAATGATGTCAATGTATTGTTTACCATTTGCAATTTTAATGGCAAAAACCCACTAAGAATTTCAGAACCAAAAACAGACATGAAACAAGTTCTCAGATGAACCAATACACATTGAAATGTTCAATATATGTAACATCAAATTTAGTGCTTAAAAAATGAGGGGAATACAAATAGAGTACTTTTGAGTTTATTTTGAGAGTATTATAGGGAGCAATTGGCTTTTATTTGATGGAATGGTCTATAACATTAAATAAGATTGATCTATGTATATTTCTATATTAATTTGAGAACAATTGAATGAGCGCTCTTTGCTTCGTAATACATTGCCGAGGTATTAGATCGGGAATCGGTATCGGCAGATACTTAAAACCAATGACATCCACAATCACAATGATTTTTAATGTAGAAATTATGTATGACGATACTTTCTAGGGGTTCAAGTGCCTCATGATTAACTTTGAGTGCCGTTCATGCCAATGTCAATGGGAATCCAAAAGTGAAGTGCCAGTGACGACACTTATCGTCAACTAGATTTTTTTTTTTTTTTTTTAATGGGAATGGGCAGAAAAAAGCCCTGGCCAACTCTGGTATGGTCATTGAGATGGGAAAGTTAAAAAAACACAAAACAAAGAAACACTATGGCCAACACATAGCAGCACTGGGTCTCTTGTGGATGAGATCACAGTGTATCAAAACAATGCTTGATGCATGTGAACATGAAATTTGACAAGCAGTTTGTGATTGATCAAAATGTTTTGTTACGCTAAATCGCAGAGAAAGAGTGTCACAAAAGAGAGAAAGGAAGAAAGAGATTATTTAAATTTAGAAGTAGAATGACAATATGTACAAGCGCATGGCACAATACGCACACACACACATCCTCATGCACCGGTGAATGCTACTAATACAAATTGCACATGTGCAAATCATTTGTTGAGTTTGTCAAATGTAAAAATGTTTCACTGGTGAATATATGTACCGGTAACTGTATTATTTTGTTTGTATATTTCATTGTTTTGCTATCAAAACACATTTTTATTGTGGTGGTTGGTTACAAAAAGGCTATTCAGATGATTGAGGCATCACTAAAGCAAACATTAGCGTAAAAGTCACTTATGCATAAAATACATCATTTGACCAAAAGCTTGTTTTCTGCATATTTGGGTGCAAAATAGGTAACTTGGGTGAAACCAACCTCTGTTCTCCCGCTGATTACTAAAAAAATGGAATAAGGTAGACACAAACTTTTTTGGTGATGAAAAAAAGAAATTCTCATCTTTTATTTGCTATTTTCTGTGTTGACATAGTCATAAAACACAATATTCTGTCAGCCTTGAAAAAGCAGTCAAAATGCTCCGGGTGTGGTCTTATTATCATCCTTGCAGCGGGTTTAAAGGAATTCAGCTCTCCATTGTTTTTATCACGTTTGAGCACAGTTCTCCAACTTGGTTGCAGACTAAATCAGCTGCTACTTCTCCAAATGATCGAGTGCAGTTCTGTTGAGCACTCCTCGGCCGCTTCCGATGAGAAAATGATTGGCTTCGGCCCTCGATGGGACAATGGCGACTGCTGATGATGAAGTCTTTGATTTCCATCAAGACTTCCAAGTAATGGTGTGCAGTAGCTTGCGAGATTGAGCATGTCAAGATTAAAATTTGAATTTGCATGATGGAACTTTGCTTGTGTGGCAACTGTGGCATTTGCTGTGTGGTGAGCTGGAGAGTGAGTCCGAAGCAGCTGCACACATGGCGGCTTGAAACCAGCATGCCGAGATCAGGGGCCAGCCACCAGCAAGCTGTCCGCTTGGCTGAAAGCTAATGACACCTCTGGGTGAGCTAACTACCATTTGGCACCTTCGATTGCACCAAAACCAAACACCTGCCCGTGTCGCCTTCCAAAATTTTATGGGATTCTGACTTTTGTGATTAACCGAATATCCCGCTGACGACACAAAGGTTATGTTCTGACGTGGAACTGTGACTGGCTGGATGGGGTGGCGGCAGTGACAATGCAGCACAGCTGGTGAAGGTCATTGCCCTGGATTTTTTTTTTCGTTTTGATTTTAAAATGAATTGAATTCATTCAAATTATTCATGATTATGGGTTGCCGTATGTAACACTGTTGCGCCATGACTCGCACCTTTTATCTTTTACTTGGACAGTATCTGATCAGTAATAATGCAATAGGCGACTGTCGTATGACAAAATAAATGCTGAAAGCAAGCAGTAAACAAACTGTTTCACCGCAGAATATTCCAAGAAATACACCACATCGTCAATATTATGTTCACGATCCAAGTCTTTGTGCTTTGTCTAATTGAAGTTACCAGGGTCGAGGTCAACTTGTTGGATGAGCAATGGAGGTCCTTCGCGTACAACTGAAATACAGTACAATGTAATCAAATACAAAATGTTTAGATGTGAAAATATGGCACAACGGAAGAATTATGCCGGTCAACAGCAAATTTTTGAAGCAGATTACAAATATGGATTTCAAATTCAGATTTTTCTAGCACATCAGGTTTTAAACACATAAAAAAATGTTTTTTTTTTGTTTATACGTTTGACCAAGATAAAAAAATGCACAATACAGATTTGACTATGCGTTGTAATTATATTTTAGAATAAAATCCACCTGTTGCCCAATCCTTTATTCATAGTCAGCATATGACTCAATACTGTATATTATTTAATTACTTTTTACACGATTGTGATTATTTTCCGGATAAGCGGCTGAAAATGGATGGATGGATGTTATTATTTTCTCACTATTATTATGGAAGCCTAAAGTTTCGTTGCCCCTCAAGATTAAAACATGCTTGCCAAAACGCGTTGACCGTGATACCTTTATAGTTTGTTGTTCTCAATAGACTGAGATCGATATCCTGTAGCAAGCACATTGTGCTCCCCAAATAATCACCTTATTGCCTTGTGCTAATACTTAACATTCTGCATGCAGGAAGTCTATCTGAATATCGAAACTCGCTGTTATTTTTCTTTTAAACTTTAATTCTTAGTTGATAAGTGTCTGGCTCAATATTGTACCCGAGGGACAGTAATATGCAGGAGGATATTATTGTCACGCTGCCGTCCACTTTAGTCCACTTGAGGCTGAAACAAGATAATAAATCCTGAATCTGTTTGAGACCAAAATTGGGGTTTTTTTTTTTTGCAAAATAGTTCAATTCAGGTTGCATTTTTATCCGTTATTAGTCGAGAAAATCTCTGGGCCGAGGGTTGATCGGCGTGAACTAATTTGTTTCCGGCACCATCGGATCACTTTTCAAATGTTGCGGTTTGTAAGGGATGGACATTGCCAACCTGTCTGGCTTCAGCAATCAGCTAAAGGTCAGCTCGCTACGCTTTTAAAATGCGACCCGAGCCTTCTTCATGCATTTGGCGGCATCAAATGAAGCTTGCACAAATGGAGCAAGTCAAGACTCTGACATTTTGTCACCGGGGCGAGACAATCACTTGTCACTCTCACAGGAGTTCGTTGTGGGTTATTTCAAATGAAAAGTACCATATTTCTGTAAATGTGTCTTTGTGGAGTCCCATAGTTCCTGACTGAATTAAATGTCTAACATAACTACATGTTACACACAGATCTGAATTTATCACGATATCTTGTTATGATTCACCAGTCCTGGCAGACAGGATGGCATGTCTCAAATAAAGCCGTTCATGACAGCGCATGATATACTATGCCACGTGTCAATATTGCCAAATATTTTAAAGAAATTGTTTTAAAGTGAAATTAAAGTTACAAACATATCACAACCAAATTTTGACTCAATTCTCAGTTTGTTAGATGGAAAAATACAGTAAAACATGCACAAGGTTGAAGGCAACTAGCGAGAAAGAGACAAACTTCTCACCTTCAGGATACATTTTTTTCATGTGTTTGTATTCAGCATTCATGTGAAACACAAAACACTTGCAGATGGATGTGGAGATATTCAAATATATATTGGATTTGAGGGTCAAGTAGTGGAAGCTAATTAACCTGTGTGCAAGAGTTCACAGAAATTTGAGAAAGCCATGTTTTGTCGTCACTATCATGCAAAGTCAAGTGGGGATAGACTGTGAATTGGGACTAAATTAACGAACAAGACTCATTATGTGAGCTCCTTGAGTAGAATGATGAAGTTTTTTTTTTTTTTTTTTTTTTGCTAACGTCGCATTCACTTCAGCTCTCACTAGTTTCAACATCATCCGTCTCCCTTAGACACGGCACATAAAGACGGCGCCTTTATTACAGGGCCCAGTACAAGAATGATGAATTATTTATTCTATTCAGCAGTGCTACTGCAAAGATCTGCAGCATTGTACCGTAGGGTGACCAGTTTGCTGTACAGTGGAGGAATAATATAAATGAACTTCTTAGGAGTCACATTTCGTTGGTTTTAGATCCGGGTCGTTTTGTAAAAACTAAGCTAATACATTTAGTTTTTGTCAAAAATGAAAATAGTGAAATCTGATGATGACCACCAAATAGTGAAATCGACTCCGATCAACACATAAGACCTGGATAAATAATTCCTAAATACAGCATGTTTTTCATATTTCTGATCTATAAATATGCGGGAAAAAAAGTATGATTCCAAGTTACAGTTCATTGATCCTAAATGAAGCCCAACTGGTTATAAAAGTCATGCCGACAGAAAATTGAATCCTAACATCTTGATACACTGCGTGTATGCGAGATCCCCACATTAGTTTTAAAAGCAAACATCCAGAGAAACGTCTGTGGCTCAGTCAGCCTTTTTGGTCTTTTCATGTGCCTCTTAGGCTGATGGATGCCTGCTCAGGGCCCCCGTGACCTCTCATTGATAGATTGACGCACTTCACGGGGTTTTAATCCCGTGTTTCAATGCGCGTGCATGGTCTCAAC